TTTTGGTTTACATTGTGTGAGTGTGACTATTTTAAACATAAATAAATTTAATAAGCTAAAAGTCTTATAGTATAATTTATCATATTAATATTTAGAAAAATAACTAAAAATTTTATTGGCAAACCAAAAATATGTTTAGACATCTTTAAAATATTCAAAACCAATGTCTTGGGTATTGTAGACGACCAAAAAAAATATCGTGAGTATTGGATTTTATTAAATGAAAAGGAAATTCAAATAGATACTTAAAATAAAAATTTTTTAAATGTGAATTATCTTTGATCTTCAATATGTAACTTCATGTAGCAACATTACTACTATTTGTTTGTTTTTCTTGTGGAGTCTCAACATCAACCAAAACTCCAATAACATTTAGATTTCAAAAAAAAAAAAAAAACTATTTTTTGATAAATATGAGTTACATGTTTATTTTAATAAAATCATATTAAGATGAAAAAAAAAAAGGAGAGAGATACATTAGATAATAAAAAGAATATATACCACAAAGGTTTTTTTTTTTCTCAAGTAATTTCTCATAATCTGTGAATTTATTCATCAAATTGATAAGTAATTTCATATTTATTTGTGGAATTCTTTTCATTCATCATTATCATTGAAAGAATACCATGATTGTTATTTGTATTTATTTTGATTCTTCTTATTATTATGGTGGTGACTTTTCAATTTTAAGGAAAGTGATTGGTGTATTTTTTGATTCAATATATTTGTCAACACTTATTAATTTAGTAATTAAAATATGTAGTTTTAAATATTTTCACTTTTTATTTAATTTGAAAATAATAATTTCTTCATAAATGTATTGTGGAGTATTTGAATTAAAATGTGTTTGTATTAGTGTTCCATTTACAGTTATGGTATTATAATTATAATTTTTATTTATATATTTTTATTAATTTCTCAGTAAATCTTAATTAAAAGTTTTCTAAACATTTTTCTTTTTTGTTTTCGTACTTTATTATTTTTTCATAATAATGGTTAGATTTCTCACTTTTACTACCCCTTACCTTTCTAAGTTATTAGAGTGTGAAATATATTATAATAGAACATACAATATGAATTAATCTATATCTATATATTGTACAAAATGTTATCCCAAGCATTAATTAGGTACTAAAATTCACCATTTTGTTTTAGTTATGAAATAATAAATTTTGTAAATAAATCTACTTAACAATATAAATTCAACCTTTTTATGTTCTTATATTTTTATCTTTCACTTCTTTCTATTTGAGATTTATTTTTAAAATACTAATATAACACATACTATTATTTTCCACTATTCCGTCATATTTTTCGACTATTAAATTTAATTTCACTCATTAATTAGGTAGTGAAAGAAATTAAGGGTAAAAATGTTAGAAATTGATTTCAATGATTCGTCTCGTATGTATGGTAGACTTTGGAGCAACTTTTTTGAGCATTTGAAATTAAATACTGTGGCACTCTACTATGCAGCTCGTAAACTTCTCGGTAAGGCGGCAGCGATACCCCCACCTTCTCCCAGCGTAAATATGCGACGAGGTCAGTCTGGGAAGGTTTGATTTCCCTGTACCACATGCTACTGCCGTCGACTTTCAAGGGGCATTGAGAAAATGGTGTGGCATCTTCCCCAAAACTTCTTAAGGGGTTTTGGTATTGATAAAGCAAGTTTAAAGCAAAATGGAAGTTCAATACCGAGTCTGTTAGTAAGATGGAGTTGAGAGATAGGCTACTGTAGATTTAGCAACAATAAGCCCTGGTTCTCAGCATAACTTAATTCAATGAGCTAGTGGAGGACCAGATAAAATTCAGTTTAGTGTGTATGTGTGTTTTTTTTAATAAAGTTTGCAAGCAAGAATTTAAGTTGTAAATGCCTAAGGGCCTCTGAACTCTTGCTGAGAGTTTTAAAACTCTAAATTGGAAAAGAGATTTAAAAATGAAGACTATCTCATATTGTATTTGTATTTGTATATATATAGTTTGAATAAAATGTATATTTTTTAATAGTTAAAATTAAAGGTGGTGTTATTGTCATAACTTTAATTATTAATATCATATCTTTTTTTTTTAATTTATCAATCTGCCTTTTAATTGATTTAAAAAATGAAAAAATGTAGATTCTTGAAGAATAGTGCAGTGGAATACTCAAATAAGTTAAAAATGTATGGCATTAATGTAGTAATAACCCCACCTTCTAATAATGTGCATTTAGCATTTTAACCCCTCAAGATATTTAAATACTATGAGTGAAAAGTTAAAATACACAAAATGAAAAAAAAGGGGGGGTATTTTTGACTTTTCACTTTCAATATTTTATTACTTGAAGTTAGATGCATATTCTTCAAAATATGTGAGTTGTGCACCATTTTATAACTTATTATGTGCACCTGCCTCAAATTAGATGTGTAACTGCATTTTTCCCTTCATTATGTACACAACATGTTTTGATTTCGTTTCTAATGTGAATATATCTTACTATATTGACAATAAAAAAAAAAAAAAATCAATTCGGTCAATCATAATCATCGAATATGAAGATTTATGGTCCCATATTCACACCAAAGGATTCTTGTGTTCACATTCATGAATTGCTATTGAACGTTTTGTTAGATGTTACTATATTACCATTAAATTGTTTAAAGGTTAAAACCCCTTTTTGGTCCCTGAACTATTGTACGGATCTCTAATTTGGTCCCTGAACTAAAAAAATCCCTGATTTGGTTCCTACTGTTTACCATTTTGACTCTAATTTAGTCCTTCCGTTAAAAATTGACTGACGTGTCCCATTACCTAACGAAAAAAGATGACAGCATGGCAAAAAAAGAATGATATGGCAAAAAAAAACAATAACATGGCAAAAAAAACCTTAAAATATTTCCTTTTCCTTTTTTTCTTTTTTTCTTCCTTTCTTCTTCCTTCCGTTTCGCCTTCTGCAAACCCTAACACCTTCTAACATTAAATCAAAAAATAATACAAACCCAGAATCTCCCCAAACCAGTCACCGCCCTAAATTCTTTCTTTTAACCTCCCCAAAAAAACTCAGAAATATCATGACATATTTTTCCAAAATTCAAGCTTCTAAACATAAATATTAAAAAAAAAAAAGAAATCGAACCCTCGCTGGGTTCTTGAGAACCCAGCAGATGGCTGGGTTCTTGATCGAACCCTCGCTGGGTTCTTGATCGAACCCTCGCTGAGTTCTTGATCGAACCCTCGCTAGGTTCTTGAGAACCCAGCAGATGGCTGGGTTCTTGATCGAACCCAGTGATCTACTGGGTTCGATAATCATAAGCAGCCATATGGGTAAATTTTTTCCCTCAACCAATTTTTGCCAAATTCTCAATGAGAACAGCCCACACAAACAAAATATTCACTAGCAAAATAATCAGCTGCAACCCAAAAATATCCTTAAAATTCAAGCTTCTAAATATAAATATTTTTTAAAAAAAATCAAACATGGCAAATCAAGAACCCAGCAGATTGAAGAACCCATCACGCTTGGGTTCCTTGCGAACCCAGATGCTGGGTTCGCAAGGAACCCAGGCGATCTGGGTCCATTGAACCCTGGCCGAACCTAGATCGCCTGGGTTCGTCGAACCCAAGCGAACCCAGCGCTTGGGTGGGTTCGTCAAACCCAGCACCAGGTTCGTCGAACCCAACGCCTGGGTGGGTTCGAAGGAACCCAGGCCTGCTGGGTTCCAAGGGGAAGGAGGAAAAGAAAGGGGAAGGAGAAAGAGAAAGGGAAAGGGGAAGGAGAAAGAAAAAAGAAAAAAAGAAATAAGTTTTATTTTTTATAATATTTTTTTTCCACATCATCACTTTTTGATTATATTACTTTTCACGTGGATTACCATATGACATGTCATCTGGTAACCGTTAAGTAACAGGCCATGTCACACAATTTTTAACGGAAGGACCAAATCGGGGTAAAAATGGTAAACAGTAGGGACCAAATCAGAGATTTTTTTAGTTTATGGACCAAATCAGGGGTCTATACAATAGTTCAGGAACTAAAAAGGGGTTTTAACCTTGTTTAAATTGTTGCCTTTTAAAAAGTCATGTTCAATAGCAATTGGGCCTTCGATTCTAGTGACGTCAGGTCATGTATAAGTGCATTTTTTCACCTCTAGATCAACGATTCGAAATCGATCCTTTGCGAATTTGTTTAAAAAAAAAATCATGTTCAATAATTTAATTTTGAGTGAATTTATGTATGCAAAAATGTTTTTTTTTTTTTTTTAGTTTGTCCTATATTCAAAGACATAAGTTTGAGGTTTAAAATGACAAAAATAACTTTAATAAATTAGAGGTGCATAAGATTTATTAATGATATTTTTATCATTTTTCATGTTGGATTGATGTTTTAGGTGTAGTTTACGCTAAAAACTCATTTCCTTATATACTCGCTTTTTAAAAAGGATGTATTAATTGTTACTCTTTATTACAATTTTACAAGAGTAGCAATATAGAAATAATATTTTTATATAATTTTTTATAC